TCTCTCTTTGTATAATAATAATAATAATAATAATAATAATAATAATAATAATAATAATAATAATAATAATAATAATAATAATAATAATAATAATAATAATAATAAAAAGTTGGAAGGGACCTTGGAGGTCAATCTAGTCCAACCCCCTGCTCAGGCAGGAAATCCTATACAGTTTCGGACAAATGGCTGTCCAGTCTCTTCTTCAAAACCTCCAGTGTTGGAGCATTCACCGCTTCTGGAGTCAGGTTGTTCCACTGGTTTAATTGTTCTAACTGTCAGGAAGTTTCTCCTTAGTTCTAGGTTGTTTCTCTCCTTGATTAGTTTCCATCCGTTGCTTCTTGTCCTGCCTTCAGGCGCCTTGAAAAATAGCTTGACTCCCTCTTCTTTGTGGCTGCCCCTGAGATATTGGAACACTGCTGACATGTCACCCCTCGTCCTTCTTTTCATTAAACTAGACATACCCAATTCCAGCAGCCTTTCCTTATAATATGCTTTAGCCTCCAGTCCCCTAATCATCTTTGTTGCTCTTCTCTGCACTCTTTCTAGAGTCTCAACATCTTTTTTACGTCGTGGTGATCAAAACTGGATGCAGTATTCCAAGTGTGGCCTTACCAAGGCATTGTAAAGTGGTATTAATACTTCACGTGATCTTGATTCTGTCTGTCTCTCTCTTGGCCTCTCTTTCCCACTAGCTTTCTCTCTTGGTCTCTCCCTCTTCCTCTCACTTTTTTCTCTCTTTCTTTCTCTTTCCCTCCCTCCCTCTCTCCCTCCCTCCTGTCTGTCTGCCTCTCTCTCTCTTCCTCTCTGTCCCACTCGTTCTCTCTTCCTCTCTCTTTCTCTCCCTAACTCTCTCCCATTCTCTTTCCCTCCCTCTCTCCCCCCCCTCTCTCTCACACACACACAAACACACACACACAACCTCTGGGAGAACGTGACATCTTGTGGTGCTTTTGATATATTTTGAGAGCTTGATGCCTGTTGCTGTTTCCCTCTTTAAAACTGTGATCAGTTGCAAGGACCACATCCTTTTCGTTTTCTCCTCTTTCATCTTCCAGACCAATGAAGATGTCATGTGTCTGATTAACAAAACACTTAAAAGGACTTTCAGGCATATTTTTTCCTAAAAGCATTTATTAAGGTTACAGAGACGTCAGTACAGCATGGTGGAAATGCTTAGGTCTGGCTTCTCTTCCGTTACGCATATACATTCTAATCATTCCCCCCCCCCTTATTTTGGGGTCATGGTTCACATCTTCCAATCAACTTGGAAGATGTGATTTACTTCCGGTTTCTTTTTCCCGGGCTATCCTTATTCTCCTCTCTTTTTCCCTGTTGCCTGGTTTAACTATAAAAATACCAGACAGTTCTGCATATTGTCAAAGCAAGAATATACAGTATTTGCAGCATTGACAGAAGGAGCTAGGAGGGGTGATCCCCGTTTCCATCCTCCAAACATCCCATAAAAGCCTGCCTGAAGTGACAGATTATTTTTTATCTATCCATACATAAATCCCAGGAGATGCATCAATATTTCCCTAAGAAATGAGAATGCAGACTCAGTCATGGAGCAATGGAGCTTCAGTATTTATATAATCTATATAAATAAAAATATAAATGTTCGTTTGTTCAAAATCTTAAATCTCCGAAAGTTCTTCACTAATTGCTGTGAAATTTTGACATAACGTTGCATTCGAATACGTGCGTGTTTTTATATACCTACTATTATATAGATGTCACACCTGTGACAGGTAAAAACATGCTTTCTTTGAAAAACAGCGCCATCTGTTGGACGTAAAATTAAACATATTACAAACGTGCGCTTTCTCTTTTGTTTCTTTTCCATTTAACCACACTGAGCCACAGCAACGGGTGGCCGGGTACAGCTAGTTTGTAATAAATATGTAATTGAGGAGCGTGAGAAAAATGCGAAGGGGAAAAGGACAGCCACTGCCTAGAAGACAGAAATAATATAAGAATTAGAATCACCCAGTTCCAAGATCCCTTCCAGCTGTAGCTGCACATAATATGGGTAAGACCACCCCCTCAGTCCTGGTTCCTCAGTTTCTGCTCCAAAGGACTTTCTGGGTTTTTTTTTTTCCTTTGAAGACGTTTTGCTTCTCATCCAAGAAGCTTCTTCATCTCTGACTACTCCCCACCATTCAGTCAGAGCTGAAGAAGCTTTTCTTCAAAGAAAGTCCAGTTGCCTCTTGAAAAAAAGGCACCTTTGCGGCTCCAAAGGCTTTCTCCAACAGGGAGAAATCACGAGAGATTCCGCCCAGAGACAGATGACTCAACAGAAGGGAGGATTCCCATTGGCGCAACATATTCCTGGCAAGCCAACTCCAAAGCATTCCTGTCAAGACCCCCCCTCCCAATTCCACCTCTCCCCTACTTCTCTTGGGAGGGGGCTTTCAGGAAGCTTCCATGGGCTCTGCTGGGGTCCCTCTGTTGCTGCTGGTGGGTCAGCTGGTGAGGGTCCCTGGAAGGGGAAGAGGGGGGCTGGGACCCCCATGAGAGGCATTGGGGGAAAGGCGTCAGGGCAAGGGAGAAGGAATTTTGCAAGGGTCCTACCCTCCCCCATCTCCCTTCTGGCTACACCCCTCCCAGTGCAATTCCCTCCAGTAGATAGGAAAAGGCGGGAAAGGCCATTGAGAGAAAGAGAGACGCAGCTCTGAGGGAAGAGGCACCATGGGGCTTCTTCGGTGCTCCTCAGAGATGGCCTCAACTTCTTTTTCTTGGTCAGACTCTGTATGAGGCCTCCTTCTGGGCCCCTCCTCTCCCTCAGGGCCACAATTACTTCCAATAATGTATTAGCCTTTTAAAATTAGGAAGGTTGTTAATAATTAGGAAACACATTTTTAGAAAAGCTGTATTAAAATAAAAAGCAGAAAGTCACATTCATGCTAGTAACAGTTTTCTCCAAAACCATAGCAATGCTACGGTCCCCTACTGCGTCAAGTACGTTTGACCTTTCTGATCAACTTGGCACCACAAAATGAAGTGGAGGCACTAAAGTGACATGTAAAAACCTTGAGAAATAGAAAATACAGTACAGATTAATCTGAGAACCTAAACAATGAATAATTTAAATCAAGCAATTTAAGTCTTTAAAAAACATTGCTCATATAGTACATTGTTGGATCAATGAAGCCATTTATAAAGTCACTTTCAGCTGGGTTAATGCAATTTTGCACCAGACTGGACTGTACATATAAACATTTGAGAGACATTTTCACTTGTAAACCAAACTTGTACAGTATATGAAGAAAAAAGCTTAATACCTTGCTACTGTCATGGTTCGAACAGACAAAGAGTAATAAAGCAGAACTCCGAGTAGTGCAATTTCCTCAAAAAATATGTTTATTGTTACAGAGTATCTGCATGGTCAAAAGTGAAACCAAGACTAAAGTTCCCTCCAAAAAGTTACATTATTACAAAGTTAAAGTTCCCACCCCAGTACTATGCAATCAACTACATTTCCCAATAGAATAGTTTGGCGGGCTTTCTTATACTACGCCCAATCCCCAATTGTGGGAGCAATAGATGACCTTGATTCCCATGGGACATCTGATTGTTTTGACTAGCAAAACACCTGGACAAGCCCCCCCTTCCTCCATTCCATGTGGCAACTTCAAATGAGGGGGGAAATGGCTGCAGCCAGGCTCATTTGCAAAGCTGACAACTATATGTTTAAAGAAAGCCAGTATTTTTAACCCAATTGGAACAAAAATGAACACACAGAGACACACTTTCCCTTCTTTGGCTTGCATACACTAGAGCTTCACAAAGCCTGGAGGCTGATCTCAGACTCACTTCAGATGTTGCTTCTGCCTAAATAAAGCAGCTTGACCAAGCAGAGGTTTTGGAGTAATAAGAGGAGCAATTGTTTAACAGGTTTTCTTGAGAAAATTAATCAATTGGTTAATACCTCTGGAATTAATAACTCTATTCTGGCAGTTTTCCAAAATCCAAATACATTTATACACTGCTCCTATGGCAATCCTCTGAAAGAAGGAAGACTGTTCTCCACACTTTTACACAAATGTTATTCTTTTTACACTCCATATTTTTAAATGGTTTCACGTCACAGTGGATCCTTTTATGCAAATTAAGGACACTTCAGTCCCTAAAGCAGAGTTTCGGGAGCAGGGGAAGGGGGGAAAGGGATGGTTTTGTGGGGGGGATGAACACTGCTTTTCTGAGTGCGGTTGTAAGTGCCCGAGATGACATTCATTAAAGAGGGGTACCAAATGCCTGCGATGCCTGTGGTGACACTTGTGCGACTGTTGCGGCAAATACCTGCAAAGCTCGTGACAAGGCTTGTGCAAGCGTGACCACAAACGCCAACTTTCACAATGCTCGCGTGAGTGGGGCTGTGCGTGCACAGTCACACACGCATACAAAATGGCCAGCCACTCAGGTAGACCAGCGGCCAATATGCCATGACCGATAGTGGGAAACAGCCCACAGATTAGGATCACTTGCCCTAAACCAGGGGTAGGCAACCTTGGCTCTTTTATGACTCGTGGACTTCAACTCCCAGAATTCCTTTCCCCTCAGCATGGCTGGCTCAGGAATTATGGGAGTTGAAGTCCCCGAGTCATAAAAGAACAAGGTTGCCTACCCCTGCCCTAAAGGGATCTCTCTCATCTTGTATGTATCCCTGATATGAAAATAATAATTTGATTGCTTTACACAGGATATTTTTCTGCCCTCTGTGGATTCTTTCTTGAGAAACATCCTGTTTTCACCAAAACTCTTTCCGCATTGCAAACATTTCTATTTCTCCCCTGTGTGGATCCTCTTATGGGAAGTAAGGTGTCTTTTTAATCTGAAGCTCTTCCCACATTCTGTGCACTGATGCAATTTCTTCCGTGTGTGGGAACTAATGTGGTACGTAAGGGACCTGCTTGAACTCAAACTCTTCCCACATTCATTGCATACATACAATTTCTCTCCCGTGTGGATCCTGTTATGGGAAGTAAGGGTGCGGTTATCACAGAAGCTTTTTCCACATTCCAAGCATTTATAGGGTTTCTCTCCGGTGTGGGTCCTTTTATGGTAAGTCAGATAGCCACTGCCAGCAAAGGTCTTTCCACAGTCTGTGCATTTATAAGGTTTTTCCCCAGTATGGATCCTGTGATGGAAAGTAAGTTGANCTCCCGTGTGGATCCGTTTATGGCAGTTCAGGTGACTGCTGCTTTTGAAGCTTTTTCCACACTCCATGCATTTATACGGTTTTTCTCCTGTGTGGATTCGTTTATGGGTAGCAAGGGCAGAGCTTTGCGTGAAGCCCTTCCCACAGTCTATGCATTTATAGGGTTTTTCTCCTGTGTGGACCCGTAAATGAGAAGTAAGCGAACTCTTTACACTGAAGCTTTTCCCACACTCCACGCATTTATAGGGTTTCTCTCCTGTATGGATCCGTTTATGGGAAGCAAGGGAACTGTGTGACCTGAAGGGTTTTCCGCATTTCGTGCATTTATAAGGTTTTTGGCCTGAATGGATTCTTTTGTGGGAAGTCAGTTGATTACTAGTTCTGTAGCTCTCTCCACACTCAATACACTTATAGGGTTTCTCTCCCGTATGAATACTTTTATGGGAACAAAGGCTACTACTTTGGCTAAAGCTCTTCCCACACTCTATGCATTTATAGGGTTTTTCTCCCGTATGGATCCTGCTATGGGAAGTAAAGGAACTCTTCACACTGAAGCTTTTATCACAGTCCACACATTTATAAGGTTTTTCCCCTGTATGGATCCTTTTGTGGGATTTCAGACAATCTCTGGTCCGGAACCTCTTTCTACACTTCATGCATTTGTAAGGTTTCTCTCCAGTGTGGATCATTTCATGAGAAGTAAGAGAAGTCTTTATAGCGAAGCTCTTTCCACACTCCATGCATTTATAGGGTTTCTCTCCCGTGTGGATCCGTTTATGGAGGTTCAGGTAACTGCTGTTTTTGTAACTCTTTCCACACTCCAGGCATTTAAAGGGTTTTTCTCCTGTGTGGACCCGTTTATGAAAAGCAAGCGAAGAGCTTTTCCTGAAGCTCTTCCCACATTCTATGCATTGGAAGGGTTTTTCTCCTGTGTGGACCCGTCTATGACTAGTAAGAGAACTCTTTTCACGAAAGCTCTTTCCACACACAAGGCATTTATAGGGTTTCTCTCCCGTATGGATCCTTGTATGGGAAGAAAGGTCACCACTTTGGCTAAAGCTCTTCCCACACTCCATGCATTTAAAGGGTTTCTCTCCCGTATGAATCAATTTATGCGTAGTAAAAGCAGTGCTCGTCCTGAAGGTTTTTCCACAGTCTACACATTTATAGGGTTTTTCCCCTGAATGGATCCTTCTATGGCATATCAGGTAACTACTAGTGCTGAAGCTCTTCCCACACTGTAGGCATTTAAAGGGTTTTTCTCCTGTGTGGATCCGTTTATGAGAAGTAAGAGAATACTTTACACAGAAGCTCTTTCCACACTCCATGCATTTATACGGTTTCTCTCCCGTATGGATCCTTTTATGGGAAGCAAGGACACCACTTTGGCTAAAGCTCTTCCCACACTCCATGCATTTAAAGGGTTTCTCTCCCGTATGAATCAATTTATGAGTAGTAAAAGCAGTGCTCGTCCTGAAGGCTTTTCCACAGTCTACACATTTATAGGGTTTTTCCCCTGAATGGATCCTTCTATGGCATATCAGGTAACTACTAGTGGTGAAGCTCTTCCCACACTGTAGGCATTTAAAGGGTTTTTCTCCTGTGTGGATCCGTTTATGAGAAGTAAGAGAATACTTTACACGGAAGCTCTTTCCACACTCCATGCATTTATACGGTTTCTCTCCCGTATGGATCCTTTTATGGGAAGCAAGGACACCACTTTGCCTAAAGCTCTTCCCACACTCTATGCATTTAAAGGGCTTCTCTCCCGCATGGATCAATTTATGGTTAGTAAACGAACTGTTCATCCTGAAGGTTTTTCCACAGTCTACACATTTATAGGGTTTTCCCCCTGAATGGATCCTTCTATGGCATATCAGGTAACTACTAGTGCTGAAGCTCTTCCCACACTGTAGGCATTTAAAGGGTTTTTCTCCAGTATGGATCCTTCTATGGGAAGTAAAGGAACTCTTCACACTGAACCTTTTACCACAGTCCACACAGTTATAAGGTTTTCTGCCTGTATGCATTCTTTTGTGGGATTTGAGACACTCCTTTTTTTTTAAGCTCTTTGCAGACTCTAGGCTTTGATAGGGTTTTTCTCTGGTGTGGATTCCTTTATGAGAAGTAAAGGAACTGTTTGAACTGAATCTTTTCCCACACACCATGCACGTATAGGGCTTTCCCCCTGACTTTATTCTTTTATGGGAAGTTAGATTACCTCTCCACCCAAAGCTTTTCCCCCAGTCCACACCTCTGTAGGGTTCCTCTGTTGACTGGGTCATTTTATGAGGAGTAAGTTTATTACTGCTGAAGCTCTTTCCAGTTTTGCACTGGTTACTAAAATTGGGGTTTGCTTTGAATCTTTTTCTACTTTGACATTTCCCCTTATTTTCTCTGGAGTCACCTTTCGTCAGCAAGCAATCGATTTCCACATGTTCAAGAATAGATTTTTGTCTCCAAGTGTTCTTCTTTTCATGTTTCCTCCTTTCCCGTTGATTTGTAGGTGTCTCTTCAGGTATTTCAGTTTGGACGATTTGCAATTGCGTTGAATTTGGTTCTTGGTGATTTTTCTTCTGCGCATCTAATGCTTGGGGGGGGGAAGAAAAATGAATTAGAATAATACACAACGTACAGTTTTCTGTCCCAATGCATAGATTTATCTATTACTGGGCATCTGCAGAGAAAGCAACGGGGGAAATGACAGCATGAATATTAGTTATTAACTTAAAAGACTAGCATGGCTCCTGATCTAACCCTCATTCTTGGCAGTTAAAAATTTAAAGCAAGAACAGGTCTTGACGTCAGGATGTGGCACACAAATTATCTCACATATGATGCACCTAAGTTACAATCAAGATATGTCATTGCAACATGAAGCAAGACAAAATTTGTTCCCGATTAGGACAACTGCAATAGGCAAAAACATCCTCTCCCAATAGCCCTGCAGTGATGACACAGGGCCCAGGATGACCACAAGACCGAATGTCAACCCTTGTCAGAATGACTGATCACCCCACTGATCTCTTTCTTCTCAATGAAATTGTGCTACTTAGAAGACCATGAAAGCGGACTGGAATTAATGTAAGAGGACAAAATAAGAGATGAAATCATTTTTAACAAGATACGTATTTATTTATTTTATTTATTTATATTTAAATTTATATCCCGCCCTTCTCCTCGCGGACTCAAATGTCTAGTGACCCCTTGGTCTGACATAATTTTCCTCCAGAGGAACCCTTACCTAAAGAGTCCACCATCCCTGACATTTCCAACATGACTTCTCGATGCAGGGCTTTCTCACTGGGATCCAGCAGCGACCACTCTTCGCCACTGAAATGGACGGCCACCTCCTCAAAGGACACACGACCCTGAACAAGGAAGAATCCCTGTGAGCAGACTCGATAGAATTTGCGAGAGCTCCTTTCATCCACAAATACTAAAAGCACAAAGGGAAAATTCCTCATTGGACATTTCCCTAGCTCAGTGGTGGCAAACCTATCGCACGGGTGCCAGAGGCGGCACTCAGAGCCCTCTCTATGGGCACGCGCACCATCGCCCCAGTCCTAAGCCTTCAGCTGGGTTTTATAAAACCTTTTCGCTTTAGGCCTCCGTCGCCATATGCAAAAAAAAAAAAGTTCAATCAATCAGTCAATTTCAACTTCCAAAAAAAATCTTGCAAAGTTGGAATTGATTGAACTGCAGCCACGCCCAGCCAATGGGTACGCCCAGCCAATGGGCCACACCCATCCGGCACCCGACGATGCATAAGTGGGTTTTGGGTTGCAGTTTGGGCACTCGGTCTCTAAAAGGTTCGCCATTACTGCCCTAGCTGGACTCAAAACATTACCGGCTAAAATTGGCAGAATTCAAAGCCTTCGGCTGACAGCTAATTAGGGCATGACTGACTCTGCTGACCTTCACTGTCATCAACCTGCCTTGATCAAATGGCAGAGTGTGCGTCAGACGCATCATCTACCGATGGTTTCACCATTTCATGATGTTTGCAAGAGATTCTGTGGGATTTCTGCCTGACATGGTAACCAAATCGTCGTTGTGGTTCTTTGAAGGATCAGCCTTGCTTTCACTCATGAACATTCATGAAAATACAAGGAAGGCACTTCTGGCCATCAAGATGCAGATGATACACAAAGCAGTTTCTGCTCCTCCTGTTTTTATCCCTTTCCCCAAAGATACGAAAACAACATAATACTTAAGTAAAGTAGACTTAGCCTAATTATTCGCGTCTCCTGTCTGCTTTTCTTGGGATAGACAACATGAACTGCCAGGTGGCATTTTGTGAAACCAGAATGATATAACCACTAAGGAATTCCATACATTTTTAAATCTTAAATGTTGAGAGGTAGGCTTGGTTTGACTGCTCATTGATTTAGATTTCTAATTTTCTTGTGTTTTGCTTAGGAATAGCAATATCGTATGTTGAGTCCCCAAAGGAAACTAGAGGTTCCCTACTGCTCCCCCATATTAGTTGCTGATCTATTCCTTCCTACCTGAGTTGGGAATCCTGCAGCTCTTTCAGCACCACTAATAGATGGAGATGATTCAGTTAACGGCGACTCCATTTCATCCACTAGGAAGGAGAGAGAGACAGGATGGAAATAGGAAAGGCTGCAACTTCATCTTTTCTAGCTTGAAGGCACAACTGAAGATTTCTTCCTGTCCTGCCCAGGAAATCTCCATTGGTTTCTTCTACACTCTGCCTTCGGTGGCCTTTCATAGGCTCCATCGTGGGAGCCAAGAACAAAAGGAGAAGACCAAACCCACCACACATTGAAGAACAAACCTCAATTTGATTGTTCTCTTGACCTTCTGGAACAACATATGGAAGTACATTCTTGGCAACCAAAGCATTTGCTCAATCACTACAAATTCTCTCCCTCCCCCCAATTCCCTGCAGCTTAAAACCATCATGGAAGAGCAATTTGTGAAATTCTAGCAACCCAGGAACATGCCTGCAAGGACAGCTGGAGTTGGAAATGGTCCAGCAGGGATCTGTGTAGGAATTGAGTTGAAATTATCTCTTGAGGAAGGCCAAAAAACAGGTTGCTGTCTTCCGCATCTTTGAGAACAAAGATAAATCTTTCATGATGGAGGAGCCAGACTACAACTCAAGGTGGTCCCTAGAAAAGTGGGTCTTCTGCAAAAGGGAAACCATAGGGTGGCTCTTAAGGATGGGAATTCCTTTGTGCGCCTTAGGTCTTCTAGCTTGAAGAGGGAGTTATAGCTTTTTTATTGGGTCACCTTTTACTAAATCCAATGACCAAGACATGAGAAGACAAAGAGAATTAACGATCACGAGACTCTTTCCAGAAAATCTCCAATCTAGCGGAACGGTCTTCCCTTACCTAGTGAGGTTTCCTGACGTTGACTTTTCTCCTTGGGGATCCCTCTGAAAGACAGATCATGAGAAAGATTTGTGGGATCCACCCAATTAGTCCCCATTCCTGGAAGGACCTCAGAACCTGAAATAAAAGCAAAGGAGAGGGCTGAAGAGGATGGGACATGAGAGGATCTGGATTTTATGTTCTCTCCACAAGGTTGCTAAACCCTCGTGTCCATCGTTGGGGATGGATGAGGCCAATGGGAGAATTGCTCCAAATGAGATACTCTTTGGAAGAACGCCAGAACAATTACTTTAATGAGGTTCTCTAAATTATCTACTTGCATTATCAATCACCCAAAACTCTCTCAAGAAGATATTTAAGAATTGAGGCACAGAAAGATCCCTTCATAATTCCCAAAAGAAGCATCTCTGACCTGGGGCCCTTCCTGAGCAGGGGGTCGGACTAGAAGACCTCCAAGGTCCCTTTCATTCTATTCCTGCTTCTTCTCCTCTGCCACGCTCACCAGGAACCTCTCAGCCACTGGCACCGTCCGGCAACTGGTCTCCGCTGGCTCTCCGGAGATCCTTCCCGTCTTGGAAGCAGAACCTGAAGGAGACTTGAGCAAGTGGTCCCTTTAAGCTTCCTCTCCCCTCCCCCGACTCAACTTTGTCCCCTCCCCCGTTGTTGGATCTCGTGCATGCACAGCCTGGAGCAGTTATGGGGTGGATTCCCCGCTCCCTCCAAGCATCGGGATTCGGAATATGTTTCCCCTCCCCTGTGGAGGATCTGAGTCGCGGGACCCCCCCTTGCCCACCCCCCTCCCCCAGATTCCCGGGGAAGAACTCACAGGCGGCAGTCTCCCGACCACGCAGACGGAGTCGAGCATGCGCTGTGGCATACATTCAGTCTGCAGCCCAGAGAGCGCCGCCTGCTGGGAGCTGCGGTGAAATCACGGCCGTGGGAGCAGACTTGGAGGCTATCAAGCCCAACCTCTATTCGGCGCCGGATCCGCCTTGGAGGACGAGCTCTGCCATTTAGCTTCCGGTAAATGCCATGGGGAGATAATAGGCCTCCCTTTGTCCTTGCGCTAATGGCGATTTGCAGAAAGTCACCCGGAGGGGATGCCGGTTCTGTCCTTTTGGGAGCCGATCGATTCTCTATTCCACACGTCCCTGCCGCACTGGCTTCCTCTACTTTTCTCCCTTTCTTTTCCATTCCGTCTTCCTCCGCCTCTCTCTCCTTCTCTCTCTCTCTCTCCTTCTGTCTGTCTGTCTATCTCTCCCTCTTTTGCTCTTTCTGTTCTTCCCTCCGTCTCCCTCCCTTTCCCTTTCTCTCCCTCCATCTCCCCCCCTCTCTGTGACTATGTGTGTATGTGTCTCTCTGTCTCTCTCTCTCACACACACACACAAACAAGCAAACAAACGTTCTGGCAGAACTTGACACCTGGTGCTGCTTTTGGTATATTTTGAGAGCTTGACGCCTGCTGATATTTTCCCAAGAAATGGGAATGCAGACTCAGTCATGGATCAATCGAGCTTCAGTATTGATATAATTTGTAATAATGTAATTAAGGGGTGTGAGAAAAATGCGGAGGGGAAAAGGACAGCCACTGCCTAGAAGACA